TAGATTTCGATTTAAGTGGGTTGTTGATCGAATAATGTTTCTTAAATGTTCTAAAAACATGTAAATATGACGTTAACAAAATTTAAAAAAGTTGATTTCGAGTGGTTTTTCATCAAATATCGAGTACGCCCGTTGATTATTTTTAAGGGAGTTATTTAATTTAGTTTAAATAATTATAAATATTAAATAAATATTTTCGATAATTAATAAATATGTAAAGATTAAAAATATATAAAAATTAACACGTTTGGATTTATTTTTTGCTTAATTTTAACATAATAAACATTAAAGTGTCAAAATGATCGATAGTTGAAATATAATAAAACAATACATACAACATAAAAGTTTATTTGTTTATATAAATTAAACCAATTTTAATTACATAATTAGATAAATAATAATAAATAATTTATTAATAATAAAACTCTAACACATATTGTTTTTTGTTGATATAAATATATTACATATTTTTAACCCATACTATTGATACAATTCATATCAAAAATATAAAAATAAGGTATTTACTATTCGGTTGTGGTTGTTCATATAATACTCTTATAGTCCATCGTCTTTTTGAACTCCAAATTCTTTAATATTTTTTTAATGTTATAAATTCATTATTATAAATATGTCAATATTTTTTTGATATCCTTAAATTGATTTTTAATGTGTTGATTATTATTATTTAAAACTCATATTTTCATTCAAATATTAAAAAAATAAATTTGTCTTTTTATACTTAAACAAAATTTAAATTTATTTGTAAAATATGACAATTAATAATTAATAATACAACAAGTATGTCAAATAAATGTAACACATTTGTTTGAATCAAAGGATATTATTAATAATAGATTGTATATTCGATAAATTATAATAAAAGTTAAATAATGTAATATATTAATGTTAAATAATTTGTGTAAAATAATCATTATTACTTTTTATATAACGAGTACGCCCAATAAAAGAGTACGCCCATTATATCGGTACGCTCACCAGTTTTATACCTTTTGCCGCGGTCGTTTTTCTGCTTAAAACGACAGTTAACAACAAAACTATAAAATATTAAAATGTATATTATATAAATAAATGGTTTAATAATATAATATTTATACTATATAAAATAAAATTATTAATTATAATTAATATTATTATATAATATTGAAAATTGTTTAATAACAATAAAATAATAATTAAATTTATTAAGATAAAATTTGTTATTAACTATACTTTTCTTAAAAAATAATTTAATGAAATTACTCAAAAATTATTGCTTTTTAGATTAATTTTTCAAACATCAAACAGTTGTAAATATTATTTTTTGATAATAAAGAGTTTTACATACCGTGGGCTAACCAAAAGATATATAACACAATTTAAAGTTGTTTGATTCATTCTTTTGTTTTAAAGAAAACAAATCGACAAACAGAATCGTTACTTGCATAATTTGATAAATGTAACGAGTCTGTTTATCCATAACGCATAACAAGTAGAAGCCTTGGTTAGTCAATGATTGAATTTTGGAATATTTTTTCATTATAATTTTCATTATTACATATTAAAGTTATTATATATTTTACTATGTTTTATAATTTAATTTTGTATAAAAACGGTTTGTCTGTTTATGTAAGATTTATAAGTATAGAATGATATATAATAGTATAATTAATTAACTATTATTATTTACCAAAAAATTAAATTTACTTAAATTAAATAAAATATTAATTCAAATAATTAAAATTATAAATATTTAGTTTTATAATAATAAAACAATAAAATATTTATAAAAATAAAATATTATATTTATAGTTATTTTATTAAAGAAAAAAAAATAAATTAATAAAATAAAAAATTATTATTAATTAATATTATTTATCAAATCAAAAGTTTTAAATCTATTTAAGTGATTATAAAAAATATTATTGAGTTGATTAAAAAAATATAACATAATTAAAATATATTGTTTTATTAAGATTTTTATAATCTAAACATATTTTGTAAATTAGTAAATCAAATAATTAATGAAATTAATTGATAAAATTATTTTTTCAAAATTGAGTCTGATTATATACATTAGTCTTAAAACAATTTGATAAAATAACTGAGGTATCATGTTTATAATCACATACATACCACAATAAAATACACAAAGTAGTTAAATAACATTTTGCATGTTTTTTTTTCAATGCGTTTTCAAGTCGTGTATAACTAAAGTTGAGCATTTGGGTGAATTTGCAAATTCAACTTATATTTACCACTTTAAAAACATGATTATTCCTTTTATTTACCAAAATTTAACAATTATCTTTTTATCCTAAATATGGTTATTACTAATTTTAAGTTATATTCAATATAAAAAATTATAATATGTGATTTTATAATTTGTATTATATCTAAGTAAATTTATTCCAAAATAAATTACATATATTTATAATATATTTTATGAAATATTATTATATTTAAAATATATAATTTTTAATAAAAACACAATCAAATTATATAATAAAAATTAATACAATTGTTAAAACCAATACTATAAATATATAAAAAGTATAACTTTTTGTATTTTATTGTCTTCATTATCTTAAAAATAACAAACCTATGCAAGACTCAAATATCAACAAACGTTTTGAAGAGTTCCGCAATTACTTTACTTTTGAATTGAAAACGCAACTTCCTGAAAATCGTCTACGTGATTTCCATTTTTGTATTTTCTGTGGAAAAATGTTTAATAGACGTAAATACATGAAACACTCTTTGGAAGCAAAACCCGAAGAAACAAACAAATTTAAAAGTGTTCACAATTTTAAATTTTTTGATGAGAATTTCGACAAATTTAATTTGATTGCGCTCAATAGTCAGCTTGTCGAAGAAGAAAAAAATAAGTCAAGTGGTTTGACTGATAATGAAATGGACCTCTCGCCAAATATTTATAGGGGTGCCGATTTATTGAAAGTGAGGAATGAACTTGAGTCACAATTGAGACAAACAAGTTACACTACATTTGAAGACCTCAAGAAATATTTATTGAAAGGATTGGAAAAAACTGTTCGTGTTCTTCCACTCATCAATTATCAAAATTTCCAAATGAATATTTCTCTTTTACACAGCGAGTCAACACAAGAGGCACTCGACAATATCAGTAAAAGTTTTGATGTTCCTATTATTAATTGTGAAGATGTTGTTTCAAAAAATTCAACTGGTATTGTGGACTCTGGAACTTTATTAAAAACTCCTGCTATTACAAATTTTATTCCAACTCCTCGAACAATTCAAAACGAAAATGCGACACATGTTGATTATAGCCAGGCTACCGACAACGAATCTCAAAATACCAACGATTCGACCAAAGAAGAAATAAAATTCACTGTGTTTGAGATCGAACAATTGGAAAAAATGAAACACATTAAAGAGCTCCTCAGACCAGAGAATAAATACTCCGCCGAGTACATCGCACAAGAAACCAACAAAGAAGTACAAAGGCGACTTGGTAAAAATGTTGATAGTTATTCAACAACAAATGATGCTGGAGATGAAAGAGGCAGATTTATAACAATGATGGCTGCATTGATGATGGGAACATGTGGGTTGACAAATAATCAAATTGATGCCATGTCTAAATTGATATCCATAATATTGCTAATGTCCAATGTTCCTAAAAAGGTTGTTAACACTGCTCTGAGTTCTTCAACCATGCAACGGAGATTTATGTTAATTTCCAAAAAAACCAGATATGACCTACAACTAATCTTCAAGCAGTGTGACTATTATACACTAATGGCGGATTCTGCAATGTACAGTGGTGTTGAGTACTTTTCTCTCTTTGTAAGATTCGTGTTTTCAGATGGATCATTTGAAGAAAGGAGAGTCAAAATAGAAAACTATGACGGCAAAACAGATGCTGCGGGGTGGCTCGGTTGGATAATGAAAATATTGGAATTGATGGATGCTGACCTCATCAAATGCATTGGTGCTTGTTTTGATGGAGCTTATGTTCTGATACGAAATGGTGGGCTCTCTGGTAAACTCCTGGCTAAAATAAAAGAGAGAGACGGGCTGAACGGATTTGATTCAAACTACTGCTTTTCACATAGAACAAATAAAGCGACTGAAAAGTGTTTTGAATCGCAATGGGGGCTGGCTTTTGAAAGTTTCTTGGACGGGTTAACAGTTCAGACAACAAGAACAGCATGGGATCAATTCTGTGCCAAAAATCATATCAAAGGTGCAGTTCTCAAATTGGTTCAACGATCCGAAACAAGGTGGCTCCAAACAGTATTGAT